TTTCTTAAACAAACTGCGAAAGAAGAAGATTTTTGGAGTCTCGCATTCCTTGGATCTTCGAATAAATGGCTCTTAATGCGTACGCCTTGGGTTGTTGTTCATTTAACCTTTCATTCTAAAACACTTAATTTTTATCTAAACATTTTCTTAATCAAATCACAAAAGAAGGATATTCTTGGAATCTAGCATTTCTTGGATCTTCGAATGAATGGCTCTCGAGGCACGCCCTTTGGGTTATTATTCATTCAATCTTCCGATTCAAAAATGTTCAACTTTTCCTCAAACCTTTTCAATCAACTCCTGAAAAAACTGAGTTCTTGGAATCTCGCATTCCTTGGATTCTTGAGTGACAGCTTTCAAGGCACACCCTTTGGGTTGTTTGTGATTCAATCTTTCGTTTCCAAACCAAACTTCAACACTTTAACCCCCTCTTTTCGTGGTCGTCTCCACGAACTACGTACGTTCTGATTCTTCATTCATTTTGAATGTAAGATATGTAGGCACAAGATTGTGATGATCTTGGCAAGCACACTTCCACCTTTTTCCGTCCTTCCGTGCACAATTCTATTCATCTTTCATTTCCCCTATCTTTTCCTTTAGTCGAACTATGAGTGCTCTGATTCCTCATTCTCGTCCGAATGAGCATACGTAGGCACAAGGGCCCCAATCCTTGGCGAGCACCCAATTCTTAAAATCACCCATTTTCCCCTTAGATTCGTTATCCTTTTATCGTACCTTGTACATTTATCATTGAGAAGAAAACAAACAAGCTTAGATAACGCTCATCACAAATTGAACTAAGAGGTTCCCGTTGAGTACAACAGACGTGAGGGGTGCTAATACCTTCCCCTTGTGTAACCGACTCCCAAACCCAGAATACGGTTGCGACGATTGTGTTCTTATATCTCCTTTAAAGGTTTTCTCATTATTTTTCTTTTCCTCTTTTTGGGATAAATAAATTCCGGTGGCGACTCTGTCGAACCGCATTCTGCGCCTTTCGCACGAGGGTCGTATTTTCGATGATTTTTCAAGGTGAGACACATTTATGGGCGCCAAAAAACTAACTATCCCTGTCGAGGCCTTGGACATTGACAATGTCAAGCTAGAATGCTCCATCGAGTTGTCCATTATAGTGATGAACTCCACGTTTGGTGCTTGAGCCGATATTACTTCCATTATAGTGATGAACTTTAACCTTAGCCAACATAGCATAGTATTCAATTTCACTAAGTTCCCCATGTTCTTCACTACATCCTTCGACCATGGCACTTTTCAACTGGTATCACCCTATGTGAATTCCAACCTTGAGTCATATTGATCATGTGGATTCACTCTCTTTTTGATTTTCCACGTGGCATATTTATGGTCAGTCTCATGAGTACTTGCCATTTATAGTAAATTCAAAAAATCCAGTGTAACACTAGTATAATAGATTCTTTGATGTGTGTTATGGTTTGTACGAGGCCAGACATAGTGTGAGGAGTGAGCCTTGTAACCAGGTATATGGCCAATCTTGGAAAGGCGGACTGACAAGCACTAAAGTGGATTCGTAGGTACTTCAATGAGTCTCTAAGCAGAGTCCTGATTTATGGTGAAGTCTATGGTGATGATAGCAAAGTCAAAATTGAAGGGTTTGTCATCTCTGATTATGCAAGTTGTATGGATCCAGAAAATCTATTTCTAGATATGTGTTCACTATGTTCAGCATAACAATCAGTTGGAAAGTGACACTTTAGAAGGTTGTTGCCTTTATCAATCATTAAAGCAAAATATATTACCCTGACTGAAGTTGTGAAAGAAGCATTATGCCTTGAAGGTTTTGCTAAGGAGTTAAAACTTCAAGGTAAAGTTATCACTGTTAAATATGATAGCCAAAGTGCAATACACATGTCGAAGAATTCAACCTATCATGAGTGAACCAAGTACGTCGATGTGACGCTGCACTTTTTTAGAGAGATAATCGAGCGTGGAGAGGTACAAGTGCTGAAGGTTTTGAATGAGGACAGTGTTGGTGATGTAATCACCAAGACATTACCAAGTAGAAGGTTTATCTACTGTATGTAGTTGATAAAGTTTCACGATGAAAGCTAGTTTGTTCCCTTGTTAGTGTAGAGTTTTTTCCAAGATGGAGATTGGTGGTATTTGGGTCGAACTCTAGTGTCGACAAGGGTAGCTTCATGGTTCGACAAGATTTTTGCATGTTGTAGTCGAAATTTGTTGAAGCATGGTGTCGAAATATGTTAGCTTTGTGTTTAAGTTAGCATGTCTAATTAGGCCTTACTTGTAAGTCCAATTGTTAAGTTAGCTTGTAGTCTAAGTTAGCTTAGTAGTCTATAAATAGACTAGTTCTCTCAGATTGTGAAAGAGGTTAATTGTTGGTATTCACTTGTAATCTTTGAACCCTTATCGAGTAAGTGAATAGAAAAATAATTTTAACCAAATCTTATTCTTCTTCTTCCTCCTTCTTCTCTATCTTTTGTAAAACCTAATAGAGTTTCTTGTGTTTGTTTAAGAAACTTAAACTTTTTCTCATATTTTTGTGTTTTCTTAACGACATCAATTCACAACAATATATGTATATATATTTATATATAAAATTCTTAGTCATCTGTTATTATTATCACTTATTCCTCTACATATGTTGTTTAAGTCTAAACAACGACGTAAAATCAATCGTACTGCTTAATTGACGATTTCTCAGTCAATTAACACATACGTTAGCATTAAGTTTCAACAATATGTGTGAATGTTAGATCTTAATCGATGTCCAGAGTTTAGCATCTAACAGATGAAATTCTTAGATCTAGCTAAGAAAAGTATTTCTTAACATCACTTCAAAACCATTGCAACAAGTTTTAAGTAGTTAATTTATAACAAGTATTAAGAACGAAGATAATTGTCAATTTTAATGAACAACTATAACATATATAACATCATGATCAAGATATGAGAATTTGTATAACTATATCTAATCCCAATAAATGATAATTTAATATATAACTAATAGATATCGAGTACTCTTCAGATTCCTCCTTAGAAAATGTTCTATTGATAAATGTTTTAGACCAATGTATACCTTGGTAGCCTTAGAGGAACTTTTTGGTTTTAGAAAGAATTAAACTTAGACATTTTGTCTCATCCCATGTTGTTTAGGTCCTATTAAGATAAACAGATTATGAAGAAGGGAAAAGAGAAAGCTAATTGAAGATGAACCTTGATCAGCTGTTTATTTAATTGTATTTTTTGTTGTGTACAAGTGTTTAGTTGTAACATGGCTATGTTATGAATGTTGGACATTTATTATATTCGAACTACTGTGATGTATTCATTACCAATTATAACGCCCTAATGTTAGTATTCTAGACGCTTAAAATTGTGGGGTGTTACAGACATATGGCGGTTTGTGAATGGAATAATTGAGAAAATGTTTATTGGAGTAGTTCTCTTGAATTGATAATGTGAAGTAATCAGACTCAAGGTTTACCGAATATGACCTTAAAGAAGTTCAAATTCTTTTAGGTGACATTGATGATGATGATGATATAGCACAACAAATAGTAAAAGAAGAACTAACAATAAGTAAGGGGATAGAAATTTTTTAAGGGATTAATGAAAAAGGAAAATGGAAGTATCTTGTATAGACACCTAGTTGATGAGGATGACAATGTTTTTTAAGTTCTAATCAATTAGATGAAGTTTCTAATTGGAAAAATATTTAATTAAAATTTTATAATTAATTAACCCTATGGTTTATTTCATTAGCAAGCGGAAATTCAACTTCTATAAATATTTTTAAGCTTGTTTTGGCCTTTTCGCATCCTTTTGTATTAGTGGATTGTAAATAGCTCATATGACATTTAGAGGATTAAAAAGAAATATTTGAAGTATATTTCAAGTCATAAATTTGTTTTAAGCAATAAGAAGAAGTATCATCATTCCTATCACAATAATTACACTTAAATATGTTTTGATTGGATTTTATTATAGCATGACGAATCTTATTGAAGGAGTTGACATTATTCTCTGGTAGGTAATCTAAACCGATTTTATTATATGTTCCTCTTTGATTCGATAAAACATGTCTTGATTATCACGGTCTTTGGTAAATTTATTAAGATTTTCATTTAAATCTTCAAGTTTGATTTCCAAATTTTTACAACTTTGACATTTGATCTCTATAATAATATAAGAAGAAGATATATAATTAACTTTTAAGACATGATTTCTAAGAGAAATGGTGAGTCCGAAGAAATTTTCTATCCATCCACTCTTTCAACTCGTGTAAAAAGGTCCAAAGCACTCAACAAACGTTTAGTTTAACACAGGTAAAAGCAATCAGCGAACGCTAACACAAATGACGCCATTTATGTGGTGGTGCCATTTATTTGGGGGATAACATTCATATGGTAGTGCCGCCACTAACACAAGTGAAAGCAATCAACGAACCCTAAGTTTAACAATATAAGGTGGTCTATGGACACTAATGACAACTGCAGAAATAAAATAACATTTAACAAAAAAAGAGAAACATATAGTAAATTTTTTATAACCGTACATTTAAAAAAAAATAAAAAAACATATTTAAATATTTATGTAAATTATTCTTTTTATATTATATTTAAACATATTTTACTATTTTTATATATAATAAAATATGTTTAAATATAATAGAAAGAAAACAATTTCCATAAATGTTTAAATATGTTTTCTAACTTTTTCCAAAAGTGTATGATTCTAAAAAATTTATATTATTTAAATTTTAGAGTATAAAATTACATCCTGAGAATATATTATATTTTTCATGAAAAAATAATAAAATTTCCATTTAAACATCCTAACAATATGTTTAATTAAACTAATTGTTAATATTTTTATATAAAATAATATATTTTCCATTTAAAAAATTGAATTTTAATTTATTACTTTCTAAACTTAAATATTTGTAGAATAAAGTGCTATATAAATTGAAACTCTCACTATAGATTCCATACTGTCTCGTCATGTCTCTTTCACGCTTCATCACCCCTCTCTCTTGCACTTCATCAACCTCAGGTCTCTTTCTTCACTACTTTTTTTGAATTTTCGGTATTTTTTTCTCGATGTTCTTATACTTTAGTAGTAATTTTCAAATTTTGCTATTTCATTTCTTGTTTTAAGAGTTTGGTGAATCTGCTACATTGAACTATTACTTGGAAAATTTTGTTGTTTACAGTGTTAAAATTTTCTAATTGAAATTTCATAACCATGTGCATATGAAACATGCATTTCTCTTTATATGAAAGGTTTGATAGTTTTTCATTCTTAACAGATTCTTCTAGGATTACGGCGACCGTAAAGAAGAATATGAATACTACTACAGCTTTGGTATGACATGACTGGCATATTCTTAAAATTTTTCTAATATATATGTTTTTTTAATGTAAGAATTAGTGAAGGAAAGGAAGTAAGGAAATAAAATGTGTTTCATTGCTTGTAGTGTTTGGAAGAGAGTAAAGAAAAAATCAAGAGCATGTTCAATAAGGTTGAACTTTCAATTTCTTCATATGATACTGCTTTTGTGGCAATGATTCCTTCTTCAACGGCGCCGCACACACCCTTTTTCCCTCAGTGCTTGAACTGGTTGCTGGATAATCAACTCGTGGATGGGTCTTGGGGTCTTGTGGATCGCCATCCATTGTTGATGAATGATGCTCTCTTGTCTACCTTAGCTTGTATCCTTGCGTTAAAGCAATGGGGTATTGGTGAAGATAAGATGAATAAGGGTACTTTACTCTTCTCCCGGCTATCGCTTTCAGAATTGTTATATGCTATGCTTTGTATTGTATCTATTGTTATTTGGCATTGCAAATCTATTGTCAATCCATCAATTAGTATCAGAGGCAAAGTTCTTATTTCATAGTATTTAAAAATACAATTTATTCTCAGATGAATTGATATAAAATACGTTCATGCGTCAATCTACGCTTGTCTTTTCGTCTGTTATATTGATGCGTTTTTTTGATATTTTTGCAGGACTTCATTTTATTGAATCAAACTTTACTTCAATCAATGATGACAAGCAACATCATCCCATAGGATTTGATATACTTTTTCCTTCTTTGGTTGAATATGCACAAACTTTGGGCATTAATCTTCCAATTCCACCCACAAGCTTGGAAGCAATGATCCAAAAGAGAGACACAGAGCTTCAAAGGTAGTATTTGTTTTCTCTTGTATGTATCTTATTTTTCATTTTGCCTAAATTCTGCAAGCTGGTTGGCCTCATATGGTTAATGAACTTCAATTAATGTCAAATCAAGAGTACCCTAGTTTAAATCTTGGCTGAAATAAATTTCAGTCAAACTTTATGTTCCTCGAGGCTGAACTCCAATTACCACAACCCTTTTTCCCTAGGAACCAGAGGTTTAAAACGAAAATATTCTCCAACTGACCTCTTTCTGATGCATTTGTTTTGATATAGAGGCTCTGAAAGCAATTCAGAAGGGTGGAGAGCATATCTAGCATATGTGTCAGAAGGAATGTTGAAGTCACCGGACATGAATACAATCATGAAGTATCAAAGAAAGAATGGATCTTTATTTAACTCACCAGCTACAACTGCAGCTGTTTTTCATCGCATAAAGAATGCTGACTGTCTTAGTTACCTCCAATCAGTATTACAAAAGTTTGGGAATGCAGGTTCATATTCCGACTTATGTTCCTTCATATTTATTTTAGTCACTTACCTTTTGTGCATTAATTATTATTATTATTTTTTGTTTAAAAAAACTCAGTTCCCACGGCTTATCCTCTGGATATATATGCCAGTCTTTATATGATCGATAGTCTTGAAAGGTTGGGTATTGATCATCATTTCAAAGAGGAAATTCGACGTCTATTGGATGAAACATACAGGTAATAATACAATTGAGATGCATGCTCCTGTTAAAGTAAAATACAATGTCAGTAGCTAGAGAAGTAGGAAAGAATTTATGTATATGTGATAAAAGTATTGAGATAGTAAGGGTCTGTTTGGATTAGTTTATTTGAGATTAGGTAGTAATATAAGCACTTGTGAGACTGTTTGGAATGGCTCATAAGAAAACAATTTGACATTATTTTATGTTTTGCTTTAGAAATAGCTTGCACATAAGCACTTGTACTACTATTAGTGCTTAAATAAGTTGTTTATCTAAATGAGGCTTAACTTTGAAAATATTATTGCATGCATGGAAACTTTTCATTTTTATCAATTGGATATCTTCATACATTTAATTCGTGGAAAAACAGATATTGGCTACAAGGAGAAGAAACTATATTTTTAGACCCCACAACCTGTGCAATGGCATTTCGAATGCTGCGTCTCAATGGTTATGATGTCTCTTCAGGTTAGATCATTTGTAACTTTTAAATGCATGTTTAGTTTGTAGCTGGCAAATTACATATAGAGTAAAAGTACTTTTCTTTAAGCAAATGGACTTTGACTATATGTTTGGTAAATCCTTAATTCCTTTATAGATGCAAGATTCATGTTACGTTTTCACACTCGTTTTTCTGTTTGAGAGGTTTCATTCATTTACCATATTACCCTATATCTCTTATACTACATTATAAAAGTCATACGCTGAGCTGTATGCTATCTTTGCAGATCCATTTTATCAATATTCAGAAGATAAATTTCCCCATACCTTGAAAGGGTACTTAAAGGATGCTAGTGCTGTTTTAGAGCTATATAGGGCTTCACAAGTCGTTATACATCCGGAAGAATCAGTTTTAGCAAAACAAAGTTCTTGGACAAGAAATCTTCTGAAGCAGGATTCTTCTGGTTACCAGCTGTATGCTGATAAACTTCGTATTTATGTTGATAATGAGGTAGTTTATTGTCTCAATCTTTCATTTAATTTAACTGCATATATACAATATAACAATGCATCTTGAAAACTGCAATCTTTTTGCACCATAGGTCAATGATGTTCTTAAGTTTCCACATCATGCGAATTTGGAGCGTATTTTAAACAGGAGATCGGTGGAGCATTATAATGTAGACGGGACAAGGGTTTTAAAAATATCATACAGGTATGCTTCCACTAATTTGTTTCCCATCTCAGGTTTCGTTTTTTCATTCCTCTCTTTTTTATGGTAAAATTCTTGATTGTTTGTCTGACACAGATCCTGCAATCTTGCAAACCAAGAAATTCTGAAGCTAGCTGTTGGAGACTTCAATCTCTGCCAATCAGTACACAGTGAAGAGTTGAAACAACTTTCAAGGTATATCTTTTGTTTGATTCTTTCTAAAATTTCAGATATGAATATATACCTTAAAAGAAAAACTTATCAATTTTTAGCTTCAATATTAAATTAGCTTTTAATGCCAAAATAGTCTAGTTCAAAAGCAGCTGTAACATATGATTTGCTTTCTCGAAAATTTATCCAAAAGGATCACCCATTTCCTCAAGCTAGATATAACTAATCTCTATCATATGCAGGTGGGTTGTTGAAAGCAGACTAGACAAACTAGAATTTGCAAGGCAGAAACTCGCATATTGTTACTTCTCAAGTGCAGCCACTTCTTTTTCCCCCGAACTTTCTGATGCTCGCATATCTTGGGCCAAAAACGGGGTGCTCACAACAGTTGTTGATGATTTCTTTGATGTCGGGAGCTCTAAAGAAGAGCAACTAAACCTTATTCAGCTAGTTGAGAAGTATATTCCTATTCTTAATTAAAACCGTGCCATCTCTTGATTTCCTTTTGAATTCTTCCTCAAAATTTTCGGAACAATTAGTAATATTGTGGTTATGGAACTGCAGGTGGGATGTAGATGTCAGTACTGTCTGTTGTTCTGAGGCGGTTAAGATAATATTTTCTGCAGTCCGTAGCACAATTTGTGAGATTGGAGAGAAATCTGTCCAGCGGCAAGGACGTAATGTGAAAGACAATGTTATCAAGATTGTGAGATGTTTCTTCATCTTTCTGCCTACATTTTTCTACTAAAGTTTTTATGCATCCCTGTTTACTTTATCTTTTATTATAGAAATAGCTTATTCATAAACTCATCTATGAAAGTGCTTAGTTAAGTTGTGTATCCAAACATTCAATGACATGAGAATATACAGTGTGTCATAAAGACATAATGGGATGTTCCCTTTTAAGATTTTTCTTAATGGATTGACTTTGTTTGCTTTGCAGTGGTTAGATTTGATGAGGTCTATGTATAAAGAAGCTGAGTGGTTGAGAACCAAGGCCACCCCAACAATGGATGATTATATGCAAAATGCGTACGTATCATTTGCCTTGGGACCAATTGTTCTTCCAGCACTCTATCTTGTTGGACCTAAGCTTTCAGATGATGTTGCTGAAAATCAGGAATTGAATCATCTTTTTAAGACCTTGAGCACCTGCGGGCGTCTTCTCAACGATATTCAAGGTTTTAAGGTATATAGATCAGTTCATTCCTTCTCTTTCCATGACGTGTCACCTTTGTTGTAAGAGTTCGGCATGTTCGGTGTCCTACTCGTGTCAGTATCCAACTAATGTTTAATTTATTTACTTTTATTCAAATTATTACTGGTGTCAACGTGTTAGTATCGGTGTCAGTGTCTACGTTAGTGCTCCATAGGTGGTGACTAACATTTTTTGTCTCTGCTATGTTGCAGAGAGAATCTGAGGAAGGGAAACTGAATGCGGTGAGTTTGCATATGATTCATAGTAATGGAGTTGTTACTTACGAAGACGCCGTTGATAAGATGAAGGGTGTTATTGAGGATAAGAGAAGAGAACTCCTGAGATTGGTTTTGAAGGAAAAAGGAAGCTTAGTTCCAAGAGATTGCAAGGATTTGTTTTGGAAAATGATGAAAGTGTTGAACCTATTTTACATTAAGGATGATGGATTTACTTCAAATGAGATGCACTCTACTGTAAATGCAGTGCTTAAAGACCCAATCATTCTAACTGAATTATGGTAGATTCTAAAAGCAACACCCTCTCTCAAAAGCACTAGTGGTGTGATAGCCAGAGCTGCAATTGCTTTTGATGAAGAAATACAATAAAAGGGAGTCTCTTTCTTTTATGTGAATATTAGTGTTTCTGAGGAAGAGGATGGGTTTGATTTAAATATAAAGAATTATATGGATTTTACATCCAAAATATAATTTTAAAAGAAAAAGTTATGGCAAACTTAATAAAAGTTCCAACATTTTATCCAACGAGATAGGTTGTAAATTTACAAAAACAACTGGTAGCATCAAAATTTGGAAATTATATTGTGGTGATTAAAAAACAAAAATGGTATAGTGGACGGTTAAAAAACAATTGTACATAACAAATATAAATTCCAACCTACATAAATATTTAAAAATTGAAATGATATAGCAGATAAAAAAACAATTGTACAAGATAAATATAAATTTTAGGTTAAATATCTTTTTTTTCTCTTGACATATTCTCAGGTTCAGATTGATCTCTTAATTATCTTTTGTGTTAAATTAGTTTCTTAACTCTTTAAAATATGTATATTGATCTTTTTTGTCTAATTAGCGACAAAAAAAATTCAAAAATTTGTAGTTAAATCTGTCATTAATTAGACAAAAAAGATCAATATGACACGTTTTAAATAGTTAAAAGATTAATCTGACATAAAAAATAATTAAAAGACCGATCTAAACTTAAGAGTATTGTTAAAGAAAAAAAAGTATTTTGCTTAAATTCTAACATACATAAATGGCTAAAATTGAAATTGTAATAGCATATATTTACATAGTAAAATTCAATCTTAAACATAAATTACAACAACATACATATCTCATCAAAATGAAATCCCATCAAAATTTAATTATAAAAGTATTTAAAATGACAAAAACCAAGTTTCAAATTTAATTTATTATAACCCTACATGTCTCAAGAATATCCATTATAGAGTAAAAATTTATTTTCCTTACATGTGATCTTGGATGTGATTGAACGAGAAAAAATGTGACATAAAACATGCAAAACACGAGAAGAGGCTGTGTATACGCTATTCTTACCGGTATTTTCTTTTTGGAATAATTGAAATTGATGTTTAAGAATCAGTTTGTCATGATGGTCAACCCCAATTAAGATAGATGACGATGGAGACCGGGGTTAATCATGATAAATTAATTATTTCGTATCGTTTTAATTTGTATATTTTATTTTTACTAAAATATAATTTCAATATTCTTTTTAAACATCAACTTTATTTTTTTTTAAATAAATAAAATAAAGCACTCGTTAGAATAGCGTAGGAATACTTTGATCTATTTGTCTCATCCGATTTACTTTAATTTTTTTTTTATTTCATTTAATATGGATCATATAAGATTAGGAGTATGTCTTTAGACTTAAACATGGTGTCATATATATATATATATATATATATATATATATATATATATATATATATATATATATATATATATATATATATATATATATATATATATATATATATATATATATATATATATATATATATATATATATATATATATATATATATATATATATATATATATATATATATATATATATATATATATATATATATATATATATTATTTGGATCAAATTTTAGTGTCGACGAGGATAACTTTATGGTTCGACAGGAGTTGGGCATTGTTATAGTCAAAGTTGTTCAAATATGTTGTCGAAATATGTTAGTTTTGTGTTTAAGTTAGCGTGTCGAATTGGACCTTACTTGTAAGCTCAAATGTTAAATTAGCTTGTAGCCTAAGTTAGTTTAGTAGTCTATAAATAGACTAGTTCTCTTAGGTTGTTGAGAGAGGTTAATTGTTGATATTCACTTGTAATCTTTGAACTTTTATTGAGTAAGTGAATAGAAAAACAGTTTTAACCAATTCTTATTCTTATTCTTCCTTTTTCTCCATCTTTTGTAAAACCTAATAGGACTACTTGTAATCTTTTTCTCATATTTTGGTTTTTTCTTGACGACATCAATTCACAACAAACTGGTGCGGTGTGCGTGGAGAAGGAGATGATGTTAACAAAGTATGAGATTGAGAAATTCACTGGTGTGAATGATTTTGGTATGTGGTGCTTGAAGACGCAGGCCTTTCTTGTTCAACTTGGTTTGTTAGAAGCGTTGAAAGGATCATAGAAGATGGATGGTGCTCTATTGGAAAAGAAGAAGACAACGATGGTCGAAAAAGCCCACAGTGTCGTTGTATTGAGCCTTGGCGATAAGGTTCTCTAGCAGGTTTCAAAGGAGAAAACTGTAGGAAGTGTATGGACGAAACTTGAAGGTTTGAATATGAAGAAATCGTTGGTTAATCCTCTCTACCAGAAGTAAGTTTTGTATTCATTCAAGATGAGTGAAGACAAAGCTCTGAGTGAGTAGTTGGATATGTTCAACAAGTTGATTCTTGATCTTGAGAATATTGAGGTCAAGATTGATGATGAAGATCAAGCGTTGATGTTGTTGTGCTCTTTACCTAAGTCTCATGCACACTTCAAAGAAATTCTCTTGTGTGGAAGAGAGTCGTTGACCTTTGAATATGTTTGTTAATCTGCCTTGTAATATAAGGATTTGAACAAACGAAAGGAGCACAAGCCATCTTCTGTTGATAAAGGTTTATCCATTAAGGGAAAATTCTTGAAGAAAGATGGTAGGTTTGAGAAGAAAAAGAGTAAATTTCTATAGAATTCTTATGGTGGTAATGCTCTTACTATTAAGTGTTATCATTTTAAGAAGAAGGGTCATACAAGAAAAGTATGCCCTGACCGTCTGAACAATCATGGTAGAAAGGATAATGGCAATGCAGTCATTGTGCAATATGGTTATGAATCATCTTATGTCCTGGTGGTTTCATGCAATGACTCTAGCAAGGAGTAGATTATGGATTTAGGGTGTACTTGGCACATGGCTCCAAACAAAGACGTGTTTAAGGAATTGTGTGATCAAGATGATGGATCAATGTTGTTAGGAAATAACTAAGCTTGCAAATTACATGTATTTGATCTGTGAGATTCAAGCTCCATGATGAGTCAATAAGGCTATTGCCATAATATTATGTATGTACCTAATGTTAAGAGGAATTTGATTTCTTTGGTGAATTCAAAAAGAAAGAATATGTTTTTAATGGAGAGCAAAGCATCCTAAGGGTTATGAAGGGTTTGAAGGAAGTCTTGAGAGACGTGAAGAAACAAGACTTGTATGCCCTTGAGGTTGTGGTTGTAAGTGGTTCAGCAGATGTGGCATCCATGAAACATATGTCAAAGACTGAGCTATGGCACAAGACACTTGGTCATGTCAGTAAAAGAGGCCTGGTTGAATTGTCGAAACAAAATCTGATGGGTGGTGATAAGTTCGAACAACTGGAGTTTAGTGAACCTTGTGTATTTGGTAAATCCTGTAGAATGAAGTTTAAAAAAGGTAAACAAAGAGCACATGGATCTCTTTATTAAATTCATGCTAATCTTTGGGGAGCTGCAAGGAATCCTTCACACTCAAGCGCAAAGTATTTTCTATCCATAGTTGATGATTACTCCAAAACGTTATGGGTACTCGATGCTGGAAAAAACATGTTGTACACTCGCTTGGGCTGCTAAGCGTTTGAGACAGTACATGTTAAACTACACAAACCCTGTTGACTTCAAAAATGGATTCGATCAAGTACGTGTTTTAAAAACAAGCACTCTCCAGAAGGATTTCCCGATGGAAAATTATTTTAATAGAGTATGATATTTAGTATGTTTCCTAAAAAGCCATTAAGGGAAGTGTTCTGTCAGAATATCTTGCTGAACAGCCGATTGAAGACTATCAGCTGATGAATTTTGAATTTCTAGATGAAGACGTCATGTTCCTGAAGATGAAGGACTGCGATGAGCCTTTTCCTGACGAGGGTCCCGAGATTGGATCTCAGTGGAAGTTGGTTTTCGACGGAGCTGTCAACTCATATGGAAACGGAATCGGGGCAATCATTACAACTCCTCACGGTTCCCATTTACCGTTCAATGCCCGATTGATGTTCGCCTGCACCAATAATGAAGTCGAGTATGAAGCGTGCATTATGGGTTTAGAAGAGGTCATTGATATGAGGATCAAGAATCTTGATGTATATGGAGATTCAGCACTTGTTGTTAATCAAATCAAATGAGAATGAGAAACTCATCAGGTCAACTTGGTGTCATACAAGAACTAAGCTAGAAGATTGCTGGTGTTCTTCGACAGAGTTGAGTTTCATCATGTGCCTAGGGTTGAGAATCAGATGGCAGACGCCTTGGCAACGCTTGCATTAATGTATAAAGTGAATTATTGGAATGAAGCTCCAGCGATCACCATCATGCATCTTGATAAACCTGCCTTTGTGTTTGCGGTTGAAAAGGCATTAGATGGAAAGCCTTGGTATTTTGATATCAAGCATTTTCTCAAGAATCGGGAGTACCCATCTAGGGCATCTGGAAAAGATAAAAAAACTTTGAAGAGGCTAGCCGGTAACTTCTACTTGAACAAGGATGATGTGTTGTATAGGAGAAACTTCGACATGGTCTTGTTGCATTGTGTTAATGAACACAAAGCAAGCCTATTGATGGAAGAAGTCCACGAGGGTTCTTTTCGTACTCATGTCGGTGGATATGCAATGGCCAGAAAATTGTTGAGAGCTGGGTATTATTGGATGACTATGGAATCTGATTGTTTCAAATACGCCAGAAAATGCCATAAATGCTACATTTATGCTGATAAGGTGCATGTGCCACCGAAACCTCTGAACGTGTTGACATCTCCTTGGCCTTTTTCAATGTGGGGCACTGATATGATTGGAAAGATTGAGTCGACTGCTTCCAATGGGCATCGCTTCATTCTGGTTGTTATTGATTACTTTACGAAGTGGGTGGAAGCAGCTTCATTTGCAAATGTCACGAAGCAGGTGGTAGCTCGATTCATAAAGAAGGACATTATCTGTCGTTATAGAATCTCAGAGGGAATCATTACTGATAATGGTTCGAATTTGAACAACAAGATGATGAAGGAATTGTGCGAGAGTTTCAAGATTAAAAATTACAATTCTTATCCATATCATTCGAAGATGAATGGCGCTGATGAGGCAGCAAACAAGAATATCAAGAAGATTGTGCAGAAGATGGTTGTAACCTACAAGGATTGGCACAAGATGTTCCCCTTTGCTCTACACGGTAATCATACTTCAGTGCGTACATCAACTGGGGCAACTCCTTTCTCACTGGTGTATGGCACGGAAGTAGTCCTACCATTGGAAGTTGAGATTCCTTCTTAGAGAGTATTGACTGATGTGAAGCTTGACGAAGCTGAATGAGTGCAAACTAGGTTGAATCAGTTGATCTTATCGACGAGAAGCGATTGGCAGCCATTGCTCATGACCGGTTTGTTGTACCCCAAAATTTGCCCAACCTTTTCTTTACTTGACTTATGTTTTCACTGCATTGTTCTAGCATGTGCATTTGCATATCATAGCATTTGTTCTTGAGGCAGGGGGTCAAGGTTTTCCTGTGGCTCAAGGCTCTTTTTAGCGCAAAAGACTGAACAACGAGCATCGGGAGCTCTGGCATTTATTTTTCCCGACGATCGAGTAGTCGATTTTATTTTATTTTGCAGGACATTTTCAGCTCGAGGAGCAGCACTCAGGCTAATTCAAGCATTCTCGCAATGAAAATATTCAAGAGCAAGCATCAGATGTTTCACGGGGCTCAAAATGGATGAAAACGGACACCTGTGCAAATTTCCCTCCAAAAGGCGCCAAAATTCAAATTTTGAAGGTGTTAATCGATTAACCAAATGGTTAACCGATTAACCAAGTCAAAATCAGGTCAAATTTGAAGTTTTGAGGGTGTTAATCAATTAACCATATGGTTACACTACAACATTTTTACTCTATAGCAACACCTAATTTTTATGAAGTAAAAAAATTGTTCTCGTAGAGAGTAATAGGCAACTAATTATATAATTTGTTGCGGTAGCTTATATAATTTTTTGTAAATTTTATACAACGGCACGAAACTGTTCTGGTAAAGGACAATGAGAACGGCTCCTATTAGCAACGGCTAGAGCCGTTCTTCTATAATTTTTAATTATTTTAATAAAATATTATTTACTAACACCATTCTCATATGTGTATACTTTTCATTCTCCCTCCCAAATTTATTCTAGCGCATAGAGAAAGAGAAGAAACATTCATCCCAAATTGATTCTAACCCTAACATTTTGTTCTTCATCCCATATGTAACCCTAATCCTTTCTTCCGAGCTTCTCCCAAACCCAACCCTATTTTCAATCAATCGCAATCGTAACCTCTCTCGGCGCCGATCAACCATGTCTCACCGGACTTCCACCACTTCCCTTCATGTCTCCACCGCTCATCCCTTTCCAATCTCCAAAGGTTTCCGTCTCTGATTTCACCGTCTCTTATACCGCCACTAAACCCTAGCTTCTTCTCACTTTCGATTAACATCGATTTTAATTTAATCCTAAACCTAATTCTTAGCTTCTGCTAGTTATTATTTTGTTGGATTAGAAGCTTCTTAGATCTTCACGCCGTGTTAAAACGTCTATGCTTTTTCATCGTGTTTGAAATCATGAACTGTTAGGTTTTTTTGTTTATTCTATACTATTTACTTTTAGTGGAAAAGAGCTATAGATGGAAAAACAGTTAGTAACTGATAAATTGTGTTCTGATTCTTTACATGATTATCTGTGCACTGTGAAACTTATGTCAATAGTTTTACTTTTCCTAGATTCTGCTTTGGTAAAATTTTTGAAATTGGTTAAAAAATTCAATTATGTTTTAATAACCGAAGTTCTTATAATATATGTTCAGATTTCCAAGGCTCAGAGAATCCTATTCCACTCTCACCGCAGTGGCTTCTGCCAAAGCCATGGGAGGGAAAACCTGGAGCAGGAACTGTGGTGTGTAACAATTGCCTGCAACTTTTTGAAATAGATTTTTTTGGTGTACGGTTGTAATGCTTTTGTGAACACGTCAGTTGAGAATTATTTTATAATTGCTTCTAAGCCAGTCTGTTTTATTTATTTCTCAGGAAAGCCATGTCATCTCAACTCCATCACTTAGAAATCGCTCAGAGATTGTTAAGACATCTGGAAATGGAGAAGATGCACATGACGACCATAAGAGAAAGGATGTCTTTAGGCCATCTGTGCTTGACTCTGAAAGTGGATGTCATGACCGTTGGAGGGATGAAGAGCGATGAAGGGATGGAGACAAGGGCTTAGGTGATGCTCTGAGAGTGGAGTGATGGGTAGATAATCAATCGGCAAGGAACTTTGGAGAAACACGTCGTAGCACATCTGATAGGTGGAATGATTCAGGAGAAACACGTCGTAATTTCAAGCATTCATGTCTCTGACTTGAATTTTTCTGAAGATAATAAGCTCAAAGATGCTCGGAGGTAACCCATGCTGGTCCTGATGTTGCTACTGCTATAGAGGACTTGTTAGAACAAACAAGCAAGGTAAAAATGTTTAGTAGAAAAATGTTTATTGTCGTTACCGTCTCACCATTTAGGCTGTGTCTGGTATTTCGTAGATTTGACTAGCTTACAAGCTCATTTGTGTATAGTATAAATGTTTGGTAAATTTTTGAAGCTTACCATGATAGCTTTTGAAAAATTGTCACATGTATCTGGCCGCAGATATGAAAAAGCAAATATCATACTTGAAAATTTTTCAAAGATCAAAATGTTCTTGATTATGCTGGACCTTGAGTGTGATGACCTGGTCATGAAGATGTTTCAACATTTCCTGATAATTATAAGGTTAGCGCATTCACTCCTGGTTTATGTAGCACTGATACATAGACAGATACCTGACACATGCCATTGACATTGGCATTTCAGCACCTATAATAATTAGAGAAAATTGAATGATAGAATGGAACTACATGTGACGACGTCATGTCAATGTTAGACACCGGACGCACCTTCAATTTGAGTAACCAGTGCCTAGATGAAATTTACTACCTACATTTGGTTTTTCATTATTTCTGTTACTTTGGTAATTGATACTTTAGGGCATGAATCCTGGATGTGATATTGGTTATGCTAAGTCATTTCCTATAACAACACTGGAAAATGACTTGATATTTGATATATTTATTTGATGAATGCATAGCAACTCTATAAAGTGAGTAAGCAATGTCTTTGTTAGATTTAATATAATTTATGATGCTTCACTTATTTGATGAATGCATATCATGACTCTTTTTTTTTTTTTATCGAACAAGCATTTTGCAAAATTTGCATCAGATCTTGTACAAATTACCCTTAGATAAACTTAGTATTAGTAGAACTGAAAAAAACTTCTATGAGTGTATTGAATAAAGCAATATTCTGTTTTATATTTAATATTAATTTGCTTGACAGGTGTGTATGAATGTGAATATTTTCTCAGGAATTCATTATTTCTTTCCTTCTTACACCATCTAGTTGTGTTAATTACTTAAGGTATGGATGCTCAATTTATAGGTCAAACCATTCGAGTAATGTAATTGAATCAATGGAAAAAGTAATGACTGGGATACTTGACGAAAATGAAGATATTTCCTTTAATCTTCTTAGGCCTTTGTTAGATAGTGTAAAAAAAGAGAACCAGGTAACATGTTTTGAATTATTACTTGTATTTTCCTGTACATTATTAATCTATTTTGTTGTGTCAATCTAGTTTTTATTTAATTTTCACAAACTATTTCACCATTTTGTTGGTCTTTGAGGGAGAAAGTTATTACAAACTGTGCTGTCAAACTTAAACCTTATCTCATGCAAGCAGTTGTATCCTCTGGAAGAACGCTTGATGAGTATCCGCAAATAGTAGTTTCTATTTGCCATAATCAACCTGAATCACAAGAACACAATCAATCATTTGTACGTTTTCTATTTGAGAAGTGCTTTATAGAAGACAAAACAGATGAGAATCTGAAACTGATGTAAGGATTGATTGTGTTACAATGTTTCAGGTTCAGGCAGTTGAAAACAATCTTGTTGTACCTAAAGATGCTCATGAAGAACCTTGTAACGTAAATTATCTTTTTCCTTTCACAGTAAGCTTTTGTATCATTAAATTTTCCTGCTTCTATTGAGGGAATTGTAGTGTCAAATGATAAGAATACAAGTGTTGATTCTCATACAAATCATAACATTCGTAATGGAAGCTTCCTCAAAAGATGCAGACCAAGGAAAAGTATTAGCATTAGGAAGTTAAGGAATGATAATTTGAGTCTTTTACTTGAGAAGACTTCTTCAAAATCCCCTGGTGTAAGAAAGGATTCTAAAGGGAAACATGAGGCACCTGTTAGAACAATTAAATTATCTATAAAGTTTGATGGGAAAGTTGTTGTGCTGCCTACATCAGTAGTTGCTAGCACGAAATCTGAAAATGTCTGTGAAGATGAGGGAAGATCCTCTTCTCAAATAGAAGTTAAAAAAAGGAGGAGACAAACTGCTACTTCTAATATTTTTTGTTTAATATTTGTTTATAGAGACATGAACCTATAAAACTTGGTGACTCATTGGTTGGTAAAAGGATCAAAGTCTGGTGGCCATTGGACAAGATGTAAGAATCTCAATACCACTATTCAGCACTTCTATTTGTATCAGTTGCTTGCTTTGTTTATAATTCTTTTCTTCAGATATTATGAAGGTGTGGTCGAGACCTATGATCATGTCAGAGGAAAGCACAAGGTGAGATTTAGAGTTATGGTATTTAAATGATGGATACCTTAACTTTAGAGGTAACAAGGATTGAATTAGCTAAGTATGTTTGTTAATTTTCCCTATGACTATTCAATAGATTTTGTATGATGATGGTGAGACGAAACAGTTAAATCTCAATAAAGATTTTGTATACTGTTATGCTGTTAGTAAATCTAGTTGCTAATTGTTAGAACTGTTAGAAATTGGAAAAGAGTTAGGAACTGGTAGATAGTATTGAACTGGTGGAATTAGCTAATATATTAATAAGTTATGCTAATTAATAAGTACTATTAGTAATATTGAACTAGTGGAATTAGCTAACATATTAATAAGTTATGCTAATTAATATTGAACTGGTAGATAGTATTAAACCGTTACTATTGAACTATTACTAGTACTGGTAGTTAGCTCATCACAGTAAATGGTAATTAATAAGTTATGCTAATAAGTACTGTTTAGTAAGTATTGAACTGTTACTGGTAGTTAGTTAACATATAAATTAATAAGTACTGTTATGAATGAAACATATTATTTGGAAAAGAGGTGAGTGAAACAATTAATAATTAGTGAATGAAACAACTAAGTACTGTTATGAATGAAACATATTAATAAGTACTGTTATGTATGTTAGAAATTGGAAAAGAGTTAGGAAAATAGTGTATTGGTGTGTTAAAGTGATATGAATGAAATTGGATGGTTGGTTTGTATATTGCAAATGTGTATGTATGGATTCTAAGTGTTGGATATGTGTGTGTATGTAGGAAGTTAGTCATCAAATAATACTCTTATTTAAGTTATATTATTTTTATTTTGCAGGTCATGAATGATAATATCAATGAAGATTTTGAATTTGAAGATGAAGAAACGTAGATGTAGAGATGTAGATGTTTAAATTTAATTTTATAGATTAAAGATGTTATTTTGACTATGAATGATGATTGACATTGGGATCGATATGTAATTTGAAGATGTTTTGTTGACATTACGATATGTAATTTGAAGATGTTTTGTTGACATTACGATATGCAAGATCAGGTTTATAAAAAAATTGATGTTTTTTTTTAAAATGTTTTGTTGGATCATTTTCAATTTGAAGATGTTTTGTATTTGAATATTATTATATAAAAAAATTGTGAATGATGTTATTATCAGGTTTATAAAATAAAATAAAAATTTATTTTATTAAAAAATAAATAAATTTATTTGGTTTATAAAATAAAATAAATTTTTTTGCAACAGTTACAAAGTGTGTCTGTAGTAAAGAAGGCGTTGTTATAACCTATGAAGAAAAAATGAACTTAAGCCTCTATTAGAACGGTTTAGAATAGGCTATGGCTAAGAACCGTTGCTATATTCCATAAAATAGTCGTATTCAAATAAACAACAATTGCAACGGTTTAAATTTGAAAACGGCGTCCAGCCATTGCTGTTCTAAACCATTCTCTATATAAAATTACATCAACGGCTCTGAACAAGGCGTTGTCGTTGGCTAAATAACTGTTCCTAAAGGCTAAAACAACGCCTTCGTTTAGAACGTCCTGAAAAACATTCTCATATGTAAAGGCAACGGCCTTTTTGGATTTTGCAACGGTTTTCTTGTGTTGCTGTATATTCAAAATGTTGTAGTGTTAACCGATTAACCAGTGCAAATTTTAGTTCTGCACGTGATTTTTCAAGTGAAGTCACTTTGGGGTCCAATTTTGATCACTTGTGAGTTGATTTGACACCAAGGGAAGGATCTAGAACCATTTTGAATTTTGGTTAATTTTAAAATTAATTAAAATTCCCTCCAAATTCACATTCCTAATTCCATTCCAATTTTCACAAACCACACTCCAAACCTCCTTTGGATCCAAACCTAAGGGGTATTTAAATTATTTACTCCAAACTTCACACAGACAATCCTCATAATTTCATTCTCATTTCAGAATTCATTCTCATTCTCTCAATTTGCTCTCAACTTTTCACTCCCAAAACCTCTACCAAAGCTCATCTCACATTGAATTCTTTGATTCTCCATTGGAATCATTGATTTCTAAGAGCTAAACCTTCATCATTCATCCTCATCATCTCCATTTTTCCATTCAATTTTCGTGCAAGTTTGGATCTGAATTTTAAAGTTGATCTAGAGGAGCTTATTTGGATAGTTCTTGCTTAATTTTGGTGGATCTTCATTTCTACTACAAGCAATCACTTGGATCTTGAAGGAATTCCGGATTTCTTGCTTGGATCTACTTAATTGGAGTAAATCAACAATTACCGAAGCAAATCTCCACTTCGTAGGTTGGAATTCTTGATCCAATTTTGTTTTTGAGCTTATTTGCATAATTATCATGTGGATATTCATTTTCGATTGATTTTTCTAATTTGATTCATATGATCTGTGATCTTGCTGGTTTAATGTGTTTACATGTTGATTGGATCACTGTTTTCTGGTTTAAATTCGTGCATAATTGATTATGTGATCACCCGGATTATTGGATAAGTGCTTATGTGTTGGAAAT